TATATATGTATATATATTTTTTTTTTTTTTCTTGATCTACCTATTGGGCGACCCATTGTAAACAGAAAGACTAACATTTCACATTTTTAATTTTAAAAATATATTTTAGACTGTTGCAATATCATTTTGAATTCAACTCATTTTGTACAAAAAAAAAAAAATTTTAGACTGTTGCAACATCATTTTGAATTCAACTCATTTTGTACTGCTAATGAATGATTTTATTCAGAATTCAAAATATTTTGTCATCTCAATAATGCTTCTCACCGTGGCCTGCTATTACAGTCTCTCCTTCCATGCAGTCATCATCACTTAGACATCTTCCGTTCGGTACCTTGAAACTCTGAAGAAGAATAAAAGCTGCTGGATATGAAAATAAAATTCTGTGGGCATTAAATCTAACTGACACAACAGTTAATAAACTAAAGTTCAAAAAAACGTCATAAATAAAATAATAAGGATGTTGAGATTCCTCACCTCAGCACAATACCTCAGTCTCTGGTTGGGTGTTTCTATGTAATTTGTTACTATGAAAAACACTTGCTCGCCCTGCAAAATCCAATAAGACAGGAAGGTCGAGATGTAAAGGTTAATCAAATAATACCCCCCCAACGTATCCAATACTATTAAGTCAGTTTTGTCAAACCCTAAAGCTAATGAGATCTACAAAGACAGGCAGTCAATGGTCCCATGATTTTAGACTCACATTTGGTGGAATGACATAATCTTCTGCACTCCAAACGTGAAGACCCGTCTGAGAGCTGTTGGTCAGCGCAACCCCCTTAAGCTTGGTGATGACTGAGCTCTGAATGGCTTCTTCTTTCTCCTGGTAGCCTTTCTTCACCACAAACACCCATCTGAAACATCCATCAAAAATCAGATGTCGGTGATATGTTATGAGGACTATGACTGTGGCAACTGATAAAGTGATAAAGCTCCAATTACTTTGTGTTTTAAGTACAATTAATAAATGAACTATTATCAACAAAAACACACATTTGTGAAGGTATTATTCATTGAATTCACTACACATACAGTATTTTCATTTGTAGAGCCATATCTGAAGTTTCATGGAACCATTAACATAGCCAAAACAAACAAAGTACCTTAAACTAAATTAGAAACTAACCTGGTCGCAATTGTCATCTTTATCCTAATTACAGCCAAGGGAATTAAGTTCTGTTTTATTAGAGCTGACCAACGCTGCTGAGAACGACTAAATTGGCAAAATATTTTTCAATAAAGTTACAAAAACCCATCTTAACATATGACATGTTTCAAAGATTATTTACGAATGCCCGTTGTTATGTTATTCGTCTTGAGAATGCACAGCAACAGTAGTTTATTTAATCTCAGGGCAATAGTGTTGATACAGTTTTATTAATGTGTCATACGTTTTATTTTATTTTTTTCTCTATTAAGCCAGATTGTATGAACGTAAGCAGCTCTCCTTTTTCACAGCCTCCTTGCATTTGCTTGTAAAGGTGTCAGTTTACAGGATAGCAACATAATAAGGTCAAATTGGTAGGCAGTTGTATCCCTCAATGAAATGTCCCACTTTTGGGATTCTGTCATTTTTCACCATGCCTCTTATGTACTTCAAAGTGACATCATAAAAATGAACGGTGTAGTAATGTCACCGATTGTGTTTACAGGATTACAACGCACACAATTATACACTCACCAACACGAACCTTGAGTTGACAACACAACATGCTCATTTTACATAAAATTTGCTTTGTTCCAAAAGTGAAAATAACATCGAACTGTGAGTTCACCATACTAAAGTAAACCAATGTTCGACCTTCTTGGACAAGCCTAACTATTTTTAACCTGTGTGTCACTCCCTACTGTGTGCCATGCTCATGTCAGGGGGGCATGCAGTGCAGCTCACCCTATAATGTATCCCAGAACGGCCAGCTGATAGAGTCGAAACAATATTCCTATTCTCCTGTTCTCTGCGATGACATACTTCTCCGTCTTGTAGTTAAGCAGAGAAAGGAAGAAGAGCCCCCAGCCTGCCATTCCTCCCGCTCTTCAGTGTGTAGCCTAATGAGCAAGAGAGAAGCACTGGACTCCCAGCTGATACTTCCAGCTGGCTCGCTTGTCATGCACCAACCAATCCAAATGAGAAAGGGGCAGTGGAACAAGGCAGTTAAAAGCTGACTTGGAGCAGTTGTCCAACACGATTCTTCTCCAAAATAAATCATTCTTGTGCACAGAGTTTGATCTTGGATTTTTCTCCAAAAGAAATCATTCTTGTGCACAGAGTTTGATCTGAGGCTATTAATCTTAGTTAACGCTCAATGATTTTCTTAAATTACTCCTAATCACATAAAATATTTAAGGACAAAACTTGAGGCGATCTACCAACACCTTACTGAATGCCGCAGGTTAAAATCTCATTTACAGCAGACAGGATTATAGACATTTGATCCAAAACTTCTGCCTGCAAAAGTTTAGTTTAGGCAAAATAATAAAGAGAAAAACATGAAAAATAAGGAAAAGTACTATCCATTGCTATGTAAAAAAAAGATTTTTTTTTTTTATTATCTGTTGTTGTTTGTCTCTATTTATTGCATTTAACTCTGTCTTGTATTGTATTTAGTGGTTCTGCCGGTTCCGCTGACAGACCTTCATGCTCCTTTGCTATTGACATCTGGTTGGAACTCTCAACTATATACTGTATACAATTTTTAATTCTTTCCACTCACATCCAGAACACATTGTTTCACACAGTAAATAGTGGGTTCGGCCCCCCTGAGGGGGCGCGGTGAGGTGCTGGGGGGGGGACATGAGGGGCTTCCCATGGGAAATGGCACGCTGGAACTAAAGGTACCCTGCTGTAATACATGAACGATAAAAAGCCTCCAGTCACTAGGTGGCAGCAACGCATAAAGTGGTTTGTACAGATACAAATACAAAAACACATGTTATTATTGTACATGTGTGACAGGCGTGTCCTCAAGTTACAGAAAATAATAAAGAACCACTGGCTTCACATTGGTCCTACTGTATAGATGTAATTATAATAACCCTGGCATCTTCACATGCAGCTGTTTATTAATGTAATGACCACAGTATTAAGTCTTGAGTCTGCTTCTTCATTAGTGTCATAGCAGTGTCTAGATGTGACAGAAACACTTCACAACTTTGCATAAAGAGCTAGAATTTCAGTAAAAAATTAACTTTAATCTGTCACTATCATGTTGTCATTTTACTGCTTAGGAAAGATTAAAGTGTAGTAAGTAGTACAATTTATATTTTTTAAGTAAAATTTATATATTTTTTCTTTATAGGTCCAAAACCAAAATACTTTAATTTGAATTCAACATAACTTTTTTTTGCATTTATTTCATGGACATATATGGTCAACCAAAAATAGTCAATTTCTTGACAGGGAAAATGTTGTTGTAAAATATTGAAACACCTACAAAGAACCTCAACTTTAGCTACCAATATATACATTACTCCTATACTACATATAGGAGTAATGGAGGAACAGCAAAACAGTAACCTAAAGAAGGGTGACCCCTAAACGTCGCTAATATAAATTAAGCCAGAAAGGATGCCATACATGACTTTCATCAGCTGCTTCTTTATAACCTATAAAGATGATATTTATAATTGTATAGTTTAAGTGTTTCAACAGAAAGAAGAAAAACACCATTGTATTTGAGCTCTCATTTTTTTATTACATCCTGTCAGATAAATCATGGATTGCAGGTTATGGAATAATTTATTGCCCTCCCCTCAGACGCAGGACAAGATGGAGGGTGGACTCTTTCTGGATGTTGTAGTCAGAAAGGGAGCGGCCATCTTCCAGCTGCTTGCCAGCAAAGATCAGCCTCTGCTGATCAGGGGGAATGCCTTCCTTGTCCTGGATTTTGGCCTTTACATTCTCAATGGTGTCACTGGGCTCTACTTCAAGGGTAATGGTCTTGCCAGTGAGGGTTTTGACGAAGATCTGCATGCCACCCCTAAGACGCAGGACAAGATGGAGGGTGGACTCTTTCTGGATGTTGTAGTCAGAGAGGGTGCGGCCATCTTCCAGCTGCTTGCCAGCAAAGATCAGCCTCTGCTGATCAGGGGGAATGCCCTCCTTGTCCTGGATCTTTGCCTTTACATTCTCAATGGTGTCACTGGGCTCTACTTCAAGGGTAATGGTCTTGCCAGTGAGGGTTTTGACAAAGATCTGCATGCCACCCCTAAGACGCAGGACAAGATGAAGCGTAGATTCTTTTTGGATGTTGTAGTCGGACAGAGTACGACCATCTTCCAGCTGCTTTCCAGCAAAGATCAGCCTCTGCTGATCAGGGGGAATGCCTTCCTTGTCCTGGATTTTAGCCTTTACATTTTCAATGGTGTCACTGGGCTCTACTTCAAGGGTAATGGTCTTGCCAGTGAGTGAGGGTCTTCACAAAAATCTGCATGACTGCACCTATGAGGAAAAAAAGTAGGAATTTCTGATATATTTAAATTTACAAAGGGGTTAATCACAAATCACTGACAGGAAAGACAATTCTGAAAAACAATGGCCTTATACTGGCACATAATGCAGGTTTGTGGGTTGTTGTTTTTTTTTTCAAAACCGTATTGTTACTGTAGGTTGTGTGTTAACAAAAGGGAGAACAGTGAAATGGTGAGGTTACAAGGAGCGTGTCAGGAGTGATCTGTGATAGAAGAGTGTCAGCTAAGGTGAAGGGAAAGGTTTACAGGACAGTGGTGAGACCAGCCATCATATATGGTTTAGAGATACCAGCAATAGGCAGAAGACAGGTGCCTGAGCTGGAGGTGGCAGAGTTAAAGATGCTAAGATTCTCTTTTAGGAGTGACAAGGATCAGGAATGAGGTCATTAGAGGGACAACACAGACAGGAAGGTTTGGAGAAAAAGCTGTGGGACTTTTGATACATTGGTAGAAGAATGCTAGAGATGGAGCTACCAGGCAGGAGACAAAGAGGAAGGCCAAATAGGAGATTTATGGATGCAGTGAAGGAGGACATGCAGATACTATGAGTCAGAGTAGAAGATGCAGAGAACAGGGAGAGATGGAAAACGGTGATTAGCTGTGGCAATCCCTGAAAAAGGGACAAGCCGAAAGGAAAAGAAGATTGTTGCTTTATGTCACTACACACGCATCGTCTTTTGGATATCACCTTTCGTTTAAAGTGATATTTCACCCAGTATACGCCGTCGTGTACAACAATATTAAGAAATAAAGCGTCAAAACTAGTAGCTAACATAGACGTACTGACAAAATATCCAAGAGTCGAGAACCTGCGCCATTTTAAAAAGGCTATTGTTGTTTGCGTTCTATTAGTTCAGCTGACGGCACCAGATAATGGACGACAGGGCTAGAAATAACGACCTATATATACTAGCTAACGTGGAGGATATGTTCCTCATATCATGACAAATAAAATTAATTAAAGCTTCGATAGCGTCCACAGTAAATATCACAATTTTTTTTTACAGATTTTACAGTAACTGCACAACATAATATATCAACAAAACAGGTTATGTAACGCGTAAACACAAGTTTATACGTATAACATTCAATGTTATAATATAGAATGCTAAAGAATTGCGTTACTTACTGTTAGTTTTGTTGATAAAATATCGTTCCGTACACAATGAACACCTCAACTGAAGGATTCGCTAGGGCTGGATAATTTATAGTGGAAATACGTCATCAACCGACACTCTTCCGCGTTGGAAAATAGTTCCTGAATCTATGACAAGCCGCTTTAACATTAAAACGCTAAGCGGAATATGTATTGCAGATATCTTTAATATATCTCAGTTTTGCCTAGTCAGAAAGAACATTTCGGATATCTATATGACAATAGAGAAGCATATAGAGATACAGGAAGTTTAATTTACTGTATATAGGATTTTAAAAGTTTCAACTTGGATTTCGCACATATAATATTGTACAGATATTTCAGTGTAACAGATCAACTTACATATTTTATATCCTATCGTATTCTAAACATTTAAAATCCTATTTTATATTTATTATAATAATAAAGTCACTACTCCTCAAAATTAGAAAGAACGTTGCGCAAAATATTTGTATTTTCCCATCATTTTAAAGGCAATAAAGACTAATTCTTTTTAAAAAGATTAATTATATTTTTCTATTTATGAATCGGAATCCGTGTATGATTCGTCATTTTATGGCTCGCCATACAAATTCAGTGGGTAAAATTTGTGACAAAAAAAACCCAGTAATATCATACTCATTCTACTAAAGGTAATTTAAAACACATTAAAGTTAACTGTGTCATATTCTTTATGAAAAAAAAAAACAGTAATATCATACTCATTCTACTAAATGTAATTTAAAACACATTAAAGTTAACTGCACTATGCAGTAAATTCCTTTCTGTGACCATTGTTATGATTGTACTGCCAACTTCAGTAACAGTAAGTACTAATGGAATTGCAGTATGAATTTTAAAGTTTTAATAAAATTAATGGGTTGTAAAAATTGCAAAACCCCTTTTTAGAATAAAAGTAAGATACTCAAACACAGAACTTTTGTGAGGTTTCATTAAAAAAATAGAGTGGGGGAAAGTGCAAGTGAAAATTTAACATTTTGTGAGGCTGTCTGGTTAAGAACATTTTAAACAACTTTCAAATAAGTTGCCTTGAAAAAACCTGCCTATTTTCACGAATTTCTGAAGCATCGTCAGAAATGTTGGTGTTTTCAAAGAGTTATTAACTTTACATCTTCCCAGATTTTACAGTACACTAACAGTATGTGTCACTTGCCCCCTTGTACTTTTACATTATTAAGACTGGTTTTATGGTCTCTCCTGCAAGTCAAAAATGTCTTAATCTGCAATTTTGCAACTCATTGCTCTTACTTTTATTCTCTTTTCTTTGTTTTTACCATGTGGATCTGTAAACTTCTTGATAATATTGCTAACTATTTTCTGACACATTTAATGTTAATTAAATTGTATATTGTGGACTGTATGAGGCAGTCAGATGATACTGTAGCATTAGTGACCCTAATCATATGCAGTCCTTTCTATGCCTTTAAGATTGTTTGCCTTAATACGTTTTTCTTTTTCAATATAGTAAAGCCATAAAATTCAGTCTCTTAATAAAACAATAAATTACATTTTAAATACAGTATTAAATTAATATAGCGCATCGCTGACCTAGTAAAAGCTTAAACCCTG